GTTCCTCCACTCCCGCTGGGTCCCCAGCGCCCATCCCCCTGCGCCCATCCCCCTGCGCCCATCCCCCACTGCAACGCCCCCTGGCCTGGGGGGAGGGCCAGCAGCCCCGCCCTGTCCCCCTCTGCGACTCCCCAGGTCCCCACCTTGGCCTCTGCGCCGCCCTGGGCCTCACTTTACTGCCTGGGACCGAGAACAGCGGGCCGAGGGCGAGGGCGCAGGGGAGGGACCGAGGCTGGCGACCTCCGCGGAGGGACAGGGGGTCGGGGTCCAGGAGCCTCTCACCTGCCGGGTCCCTTAACGCGGTGTCACACCCTCTGCGCGGTGTCACACCCTCTGCGGGGCCAGCGGGTCCTCAGGTGGCCCCGGGAATGGGGCGGGGCGTGGGGGGCGGAACCGCGGGAGGAGGGAGGTGGCCCCGGGCGCAGCGCCGTCCCCCACCGCCCCCGGCTGCGGCGCCCCGCCCCCCAGGTAACCCCGAGCCCCGCGGAGCCGCGACAGTCGCGCAGACCCGGGCGATGGAGGCGCAGCCGGACCGCGACGCGCTCGGCGGCGGGACGGGGGCTGACGCGCCCCAGAGCCCCCAGGAGCCGCCGCCGTCCCCGCCGTCCCCGCCGTCCCCTCCGTCCCCGCCGTCGCCGCCGTCGCCGCCGTCGCCAGCCACCCCCGAGAGCCCGCAGCTCCCGCAGCCCGAGCCGCCCGCGGAGGCCCACGCGCGGCAGCTGCTGCTGGACGAGTGGACGCCCCTGGGCGGGCGCCTGCAGCTGCCCCCGCGCCTCACCTGGAAGCTGCTGCTCGTGCGGAGGCCGCTCTACCGCAACCTGCTGCGCTCGCCCAACCCCGAAGGTGCGGACGCTGCACCCGCGCCACCCGGACCGTCTGGATCTTCCTCTTGGCGGCTCAGTTTCCCGTTCTGTTGCTCCCACCCCCCTCCACCTTCTTCATCCTTCTCGTTTCCTTTCTTGTCCTGTGTCTGTCCCTGCGTCCCTCTGTCCGGCCCCGCATCTCCACGTCCTAGCGTCTCTGCCTGCACCTGCGTCTCCCTGGGCGTCCCAGCCTCTGCCTGTCTCTGTCTCTGGGTGCCTCTCTCCCCGGTTTCACCGCATCCCCCTCCGGATACCGACTCTCCCGGGGTCTGAGTCACTGCTCCCTGCCCTTCCAGTGCCACCCCGGGGGCAGGGAGGTGACGGTGCGGAAGGACTGGCCTGAGGCTCCCCCTTTGTGCATTTCAGGGATCAACATTTACCAGCCAGCACCCCCTACCGGCCCCACCCGGCAGCCCCTGGAGGCTCTAGGTAGGTGCTCCCAGCCGCCGCTAGGGGAGGGTGGACCCCCAGAGGAACCGGCTGACCCTTGCCTCTTCCACCGCCAGGCAATTTCCGGGGATGGCACATCAGAACAGAGACGCTCCAGCAGAACCTCAGGTGAGCCGCGGGCTCTGGGGCCTGCCCCAGATTCCCTGCTGCAGCCGTCGTCGCTGGGCAGCCTGCAGAAACTGACTTGGCCTCTCTGGGCCTCCTTTCCTGCTGTCAACAGGGTTGGTCATGAGAGAGGATGGGGGCCAAGCGGGCAGCACCCAGTAGGTGCTCAGCCCATTCCACCGTTACTGTTCCTGTTCTCAGCCTCTTTCCCCAGGATGGGAAGAGTCACCTGAGGCCACACCTGTCCTCCATTATCCGCATCCCTGCTCTGTGCAGAGGATGAGAGGGTGGGACTTGGTGGCTTGGAGTCGCACAGGCCTGGGTTGGGTCCTGGCTCTGCCACTTCTTTGCTGCTTGACTTTGATCTTAAGCCTCAGTTTTCCCATCTGCACAAAGGGTTCAGATTGCATCGACTCCAGGCGGCGGTGGGAGCCAGACGGTCAGGCGCATCGCGGGTGGGTCTCCTCCTCCCAGGGCCTGGGAGGCCGGGGTCACAGCGAGTGCCAGACCCCACCTCCCCTGCCCCCTTTACAGCTGGACGGTGAAGCAGCAGTGCGTGAGCCTCCTGGCCGAGGGCCTGTGGGAGGAGCTGCTGGACGACGAGCAGCCGGACATCACCGTCATGGACTGGTGCGTGCCCGCGCATGCGCTTGGCGGCCCAGGGACTCCCCAGAGCCCAGACTCCCCTGCTCCCCGACCCTGAGCTCCTCACTGACCCCCGCCCCATGCTGCAGGCCCAGCTCTCTGGCCAGTACTCTGAGTCTCTCAGGTTTCAGCCTTTCCAGGCCCCTAAATCTTTGGGCTTCCCTGAGGCTGTTCCTTTTTGTATGAATGCTTGTCCCCTCTGTTATTGTTTTTCCTTTCTTTCTGGTCCTGGGAACTGAACCCAGGGGCAGTCTACCCCTGAACCACATCCCCAGCCCTTTATTTTCATATTTTGAGCAGGATCTCACTAAGTTGCTAAGGCTGGCCTCTAACTTGTGATCCTCCTGCCTCGGCCTCCATAGTTGCTAGGTTACAAGCATGTGCCACTGTGCCCGGCTTCTCTGTTATTCTTGGGATGGATTCATATATATGAGAACACACACACACAGACTTTTTTTTTAGTTGTAGATGGACACAATACCTTTATTTTGTTTATTTAGGTGTTTTGTTTTGTTTTGTTTTGTTTTTTAATGTGGTGCTGGGGATGGCCTCCGGCCTCCTGTGCCAGGCGACTGCTCTACCTCTGAGCCCCGGCCCAGGATGGCCTCCCTTGACGGCAGGAGTCAGTAGCCCAAGGCTGGGGAGGAAGCCTTCCCTGACCGCCCCCTGCTGGGTCACATGGGTTTGCCCCAGGGCTCTGGGTCCCTGTCCCATCCTGACCCCTCTGCCTGCGCCCCCCTTCCATCCCAACCAGATGTCACTGTCCCCCTGGACTGTGAGTGCCCTGAGGACAGGGCGTGGGGCTATCTTGGTCCCTTGGCTGCCAGGGCCGTCCAGGCTGGGCCTGCAGACTGGGTGGGGAGCGGGTATTGAGTGCGGGAGGGGACACGGTTGTTGGGACGTGGTGGCAGCCCAAGGCCCGACCCCGCCTGCAGGTACGAGGACAGCCGACTGGACCAGTGTGTCTACGAGCTGCACGTGTGGCTGCTGGCCKCGGACCGTCGCACGGTCATCGCGCAGCACCACGTGGCCCCCCGGAGCTCTGGGCGTGGCCCCGCTGGCCACTGGGTCCAGGTGAGGCGCCTGGCCCCGCCCCGCGCGACAGCCGCTGCTTCCCCACGACCCCGAGGGGCGGAGGGGAGCAGGTGGGCTCTAACCAGGACTCCCTCCCCCCCAGGTGTCCCACGTGTTCCGCCAGTACGGCCCCGGGGTGCGCTTCGTCCACTTCCTGCACAAGACCAAGAACCGCATGGAGCCCGGTGGGCTTCRCCGGACCAGGGTGACCGACTCCTCCGTGTCTGTGCAGCTCAGGGAGTGACAGGCTGACCCTGGGCCTCCCAGAGCCTCCCCTGACCCTGAGCACCCCCTGACCTCTGACCCCGACCTTGGCTTCTCCCCTGAAACCTTCACACATCCCTGAATGGCCGGCACTCTGAGCTCCAGAGGCAGGGCCACTCCTTGCAAAGTCAGTGCTTGTCAGATAGTAGGTGCTCAATAAACTTCCCTGAGTCAATGAATGGCCACCTGTGCCCTGGTCTCCCCTCCCTAGAACTTCCCTTGGTTCATTTCTCCTTTGCAAACCCTCCAGCCCTTGGCCCTCCAGCATCTTCGTGAGCCCTGGACTTTTTGCGCTGACCCTGACCTCTGTGATTCCTTCCCACCCCTCCCCAGCACAGACCACTCGACATCCCTCCCACCATTTCTCCTCTGTCTCTTAACCCCTAGACTCTTCCCAAGTCCCCTCCGGCCCCAGCCCGTGCCAGTCATCATGCCCCAGGCTGTCCCCATGCCCCTCCCCCCACCATCCCTGTGTCTCTGCTCTAGTCCCCCAAGGTCTCCAAACCCAGATGTCCCCAAGGGCACTTGTCCCTAGGGTGGGGACACAGGTTGTAGCCTGAACAGAAAGATCCAGATTTGAGCTAAAGTGTCTTCCACGTGTGGGGGGAGGGGATTAGGAGTTCTCAACCCCGCCCCAAGGTCAAGCTCCAGCAGACCACTCCACCTGCCCGGGTTGGGGGTGGCCAGGGCCCTGAAGGCCCCTGGTGTCCCAGACCCGTCTCCTGAGGGTCCCAGCTACCTGAGGGCCAGAACGGCTCAGGGCAGGATTTGTACCCAAAGCGTGGAGACTTTCACTATGCAGCCACCAGCCAGCTCCTCCCGCGGCTCTCCCCTCGAGTCTCTGCGTCCCACCCCAACTCCACAGCAGAGCTGGTGGCTGGGCCACCCTCCCGGGCATTTGCATGGCCAACCGCTGTCCCGCAGTCCCACCCAGTCCTGCGTGGACGTGGGTCCCAAGCACACTAGATGGCAGACGGACAACTTGTCAAGGGCTGTATTGCAGAGAGGGTGGCGGGTGGCGGGCTGAAGGCGCCCTCCTCCAGGGTCTTGAGGCCGGGGCTGGGCGGGGGCTGCGGTGAGTCCCCCCGGGATCAGTAGCACCTGCAACGTAATCCCAAATGGTCACCGGGCTGTCAGGGCTGGGGTCCAGGGCGTGGTGGGGAGCTGGGGTGGGGGTCCAGGCCTCCGAGTTGGGGAGCGGGGCTGCTGGCCCGGGAGTGTGTGGCCGGGGCTCCTGGGGCTCTTGGGGAGCTCGGCTGGGCTGCTTTGGGGGTGACACAGCAGGTGCCGGTGTCTGGGGGCCTGGGTATTTGAGTGTAGGGTGGGCTCAGGGGCCTCCAGGGCTGGGCTGGGGACTCTTGGACTGATTTGAGGGTTGGGGCTGATCTAGGGGGTGCAGGTGGGTGGGCAGCCCCAGGGGGGCTGGGAGGGGTGTCCTGGACCGGTCCTGGGGTCTCCAGGGCTGGTGGGTTAAAGCCTGAGAGTCCCAGAGTTGGGTGGGGAGCTTTAGATGTGACAGTCTGCAGCCGGAGGCTGGCGTGGGCCTGGGGCTCCTCCTCCCAGGCGACGATCATTCCAGAAGGGGGGCGGGGTCTGAGTTTAGGGAGCTGAGGGACCCAAGGGGCGGGGGCTGCCTGGCCCAGGCTGGGGTGAGGTGCCGGGGGACCTTGGACTTGGGGACACCCAGGACTGGTGTCTCTGGGGGGCGGCTGGGGCGGCCCCGGGGCGCGGGCACCTGCAGTACAGCGCGGAGATGGCGTTGGACCAGTCCCCGAAGATCCCCCGGCGCAGCTCCTCCAGGCGCGGGTAGGAGCCCGAGGAGAACTTGCGCGTCTTGCCGGCCTTGCCCGCGCGGGACCACACGGTGAGCTCGCAGCGCGGCGCCACCACCAGCGAGGACGCCGTGTTGGCCCAGTCCGAGGGCAGGAAGGGCAGGTCGGCGCCCGGCTCCACCGAGAGCTCGGCGCCCCGGCAGCAGTTGTCGTAGTAGGGGTCGCTCTTGTCGTAGAGCTTGGCGCAGGTGCGAGTCCCATCCTCGCGCTTGAGGTCGGCCGGCACCGGGCAGGCCCCCTGGGCACCCGGCACAGCCACCAGGGCCAGGGCCAGCAGCAGCGGGCGCAGGAGGGACATGGTGACACGGCAGGGCTGGCCCCCTCGCGGTTTTATGCACCTGAGCCGTGGGAAGGGAGAAGGTGCAAGATAAGGACTTGGGAGGGGAGGAGGGGGTGCCCTCCCCCGAGTGGGGACCTTCCCCGCCCAGGCCATGGACACAGGTGGAGGGAGAGCAAGCTTGCCGAAAGCCTGGCACCTAGCGTTTGACACAGCAAGGCCACCATGGTCAGTAGGCAGGACTTGAGGTCATTTGCAATACATAGGTGGCTTGGGGTCCCTGCATGGGGAAGGCAGGGTTCTCAGGCACTGACAAGGCAGCCGAGGGTGGTGGCCCTGGCCTGTCATCCCAAGGGCTCCAGAGGCTGAGGCAGGAGGATCTCCAGTTCAAAGCCAGCCTCAGCAAAAGTGAGGCGCTAAGCAACTCAGTGAGACCCTGTCTCTAAATAAAATACAAAATAGGGCTGGGGATGTGGCTCAGGGGTCAAGTGCCCCTGAGTTCAATCCCTAGTACCCTGAAACAAAAACAAAAATAAAATTGACAAGGCACAGAACAATCCCCCTACTAAATAAGGAGAGGCAGGCAAAGGGAGAGGGAGGACCCAACCCTTGGAAAAGGAGAAGCTGGAGCTAAGGAAAGGTGCTCTGGAGGGGAGGGGAGGAAGAGCTCCTCACCAGGACAGGAAGACAATTCCAACCAAGACTGGAAACCCAGCATCTGGGGTTGACGATTCGAAGAACACTTTCAGCCTTTGAAGATAACATACAAAAAAGGCATGGGGAAATTTTTGCCACACTCAGATAACAGAGCTGATAGCTATAATATATAAAGAGTGCTTACAAATGGACAAGAAGAAATCAGCACACCCCAACACGTGCTTACACTGAAGAACAGACCCAGGAGGGGGAGAAGATGGGGGAAAGAGGCTGCCACCCCACCCTCTTTCCCAGGAGCCAGGAGACAGGGAGGGAGAGAGAGAGATGCTGGGATAGAATACAAGGCCTCCCATGTGTCAGGCAATTGTACCACTGAGCTACACGCAGCCCCACCAGGAGCTGTCTTAACCAAGTCTGGAAATCTTGAATCTGTAAAATAAATGGTGGCCCTGTTGAGCTGTATAAAGTGGGAACAATTTAGCTGGCTGTGGTGGCACACACCTGTAATCCCAGCTACTCAGAAGGCTGAGGCAGAAGGATTGAAATTTCAAGACCAGCCTGGGCAACTATTGTAAGACCCTGTCCGAAAAATTAGAAATTAAAATTTAAAAATTAAACGGGCTAGGGGTGTAGCTCAGTGGTAGTGCGCCCCGGGATTCAATCCCCAGTACCAAAGCAACACAAAGCAAACAACTAAAACCACTGATCAGACTTTCCTAATTTTTTTTTATTTAGTTGTAGTTTGGACACAATTTTCTTTATTTTCTTTCTTTATTTGTATATGGTGCTGAGGATCGAACCCAGGGCCTCTCACGTGCTAGGAAGCGCTCGCTCTACCACTGAGCCACAACTTTAGCCCCTGATAAGACTTTTATATAGTAAACAAACAAACCAACCAGATCTGTCTGGGGAAAATGATCTCATCTCCGTTCATACAGACACAGCGAGCTCTCAGCCAAAGGAAAAAATTCAGGGGAACCTAGAAAGGGAGAGAGGCTGGGAGCTCGGGGCTGGATGGGGCTGAGCGCAGCCCTGCAGGAGCTCTCCAGAGAGGACAGGGTCAGCGGCGCAGAGGGGCTGACCGGGGACGGGGCCGAGGCTCTGTGAGGGAGCACGAGTCTGACCTCAGTCTTCTCATCTGTCAAGTGGGTATTGCTTCTTCCTATACCGTGTGTGTGTGTGTGTGTGTGTGTGTGTGTGTGTGAGATTACGGGGGCCGTGAATTCAGAGAAAAGCCCAGGGAGCCAGACGGCCTGTGCACAGAACTTGTGCACAGCACCACCCCCAAGGCCTCATGGGCACACGGATCCTGTCTTCTGCAGAGTGCTGGTGCAGGGTCAATGAGGTGATCCAGGTCACGGTGTTTAGAGGAGGCCCAGCTCTTGCCGAGTACCACAGAGCATTGGCCATCGTCATCACTATTAAGACCCCTAGCGGGGAGGCTGGCACAGATAAGAACCATGAAATCTCGTCTCCAGACGTCAGCCGTCACCACAGCACAACACTACAACACTGTGTGCCTTCCAAGGCCACTGGGTGAGCCCTGCTGTGTCTTCTGCCTTGGGGGTGGGTAGCGCAGTGGTTAGGGATTCTGACTCTGCCACCTGCTTGCTGAGTGGCCGTGGGCAGGTGCACTTACCTCTCTGAGCATCGATTTACTCCTCCCTTCAGTGGATAAGAGAAAGTAAGGTCTCTCTATAAAGTGATCTGTACCCATATGAAACCTCATGAGCACGCCATGAGATTATTACTATGATATAAACACGTGTTGTATGATACTGAACAACAACAAGGAGTGGATGTAATATATGAAGTGAGGGGTGGGTCCCCACAGGTGCCCAATCAACAGGAGCTTCGCGACTGTCCTCACAGTGATCCGCCCTCCCCTGGCCGGCTCCGCRTCCTTCTCCCCGCTTTCCTCCCGTGACCCGTGAAATCTAATCTCCAGCTGCTCACTTCCCAGAGAGCCTCCTTGACGGTAGGACCACAGAGCCCCGCCTCCTGGCCCTGCAAGGAGACACGTAAGTGTGGCACGGTCACCCACAGTCCCACCCGTGAGGGCCCCAGGAGCCTGAGACGCAAAGGGCAGGGAGACCCYGAGAGGGAGGCAGATCCAGGGCCAGCGTCACGCAGAACCACGGAGACCAGGGCGTGTCACCAGTCCAGCACCTGCACTCACACGGGTAGGGGACAGGGCAGCTCCTTCACACTGTCCCCAGGGTGACACCACTGTCACCAGTGCCTCCAACACCACTGGGGGTCACAGATTCTCACTGGTGAATTCCTCTCCCTCTCTCTCCCTCCCTCTCTCTCTCTCTCTCTCTCTCTCTCTCTGTCTCTCTCTCCCCTGGGGGTGATCCCAGGCTCTGCGCTCTAGGCTCATGGCTCTCAGGGAGCCTCACCCCAGCCCCTCACTGGTGACTTTGGAAGGTCTGCACACTTGAGTGCCAACGCATGCTTGATCCGCAGGCCTGGGGACACGCTCACCGCCACCCTCACTGGAATGTGGAGTCCCACCAACAAGCCCCCAGCCCCGGCCCCCAGCCCTGCACCCCCAGTCCGTGCACACCTGAGCCTCACACGTGCGTGCAGCGCTCCACCCAGGAGTGATCCCCCGTTTATCAGCACAGACTGCACAGGGCTGGGAAACAYCGGCCTCTCTTCACTACACCATTTTTTTTTTTTTTAATTTACACCGAAGAACGTCCTGCCCTTGGGGAACCCATAAGCCCTTGAGAGAGTGGGACGGTAAGTCAATAATTGGGCACCATGTGAATACAGTGCTAGCAGAGGACTCCGGGCGAGCGGTGGGGAGAGAGACAGGCTTGAGGTTCTAATCTCCACCRCTGTTTTGGTTTGTCTAGGAAACAGAATAAGAAGCCCTCTCTTCAGATCCCACCACCTTGACTCCACATTTTTGAGCAGACAATAAAAAGGTCACGGCCACAGACTCGAAGTTGCCACTGGGAGGAAAGAGGAGGCATCTGCCACCCTCAGGATGGCACCTAGGCGCGAATGGCAGGCGGGTGGCACATGGTTCAGTCGACACTGCGACGGATGTTGGTCAGATCGGCCCTGAGGTTCATGTTGGGCCATCAGAGCTCATTACCATTGTGTCATGATATGTCACTGAACAGGATTACTTTTATGTACAGTCACTCGTCACTGAACAATGGGGACACATTCCGAGAACTGTGTCACGATTTTGTGATGCAAACGTGGAGTACGTACACAAACTAAAGCGACACATGAGGTCAGGAGGTGATACCATCTCAGGGACCAAATCCTATATGTGGCCCCTTGTTGATGGAAATGTCATCATTTGCAAGCATGGCCGTCATTCCTAAGGGATGACATGACCTCAGAGAGCCATAAATGGTTGGGAGGCAGTGGTTCTCAAAGTGTGGTCCCTGGACCAGCAGCAGCAGTAGCTGCCAGAACACTAAGTTCTTAGTCCCACCAAAGCAGGGACTCTAGGGTGGGACCCAGCCACCACCCCTGGGTGATTTTGATGCAAAAGAACTTGGGCTTTAGGGATGGGGATGCACTCGCCTGGCGCCTGGCATGCGTGCGGCCTGGTTCGATCCTCAGCACCACATACAAACAAAGATGCTGTGTCCACCGAAAACTAAAATATAAATATTAAAAAAAAAAGAACTTGGGCTTTGCTCCAGGGCTTCAGACATCACTGGTTGTATATTAAATTTAGATAATTTTCTGTATTGATAAYCCCCATTTGCTCAGCTCCTTTAAAAGTATATTTTATAGCCAGGCGCAGTGGCAGGCGCCTGTCATCCTGCTGCTGGGGAGGCTGAGGCAGGAGGATCGCGAGTTCAAAGCCAGTCTCAGCAAAAATGAGACGCTAAGAACTCAGTGAGACCCTGTCTCYAAAGAAAATACAAAATAGGGCTGGGATGTGGCTCAGTGGTCAAGTGCCCTGAGTATTAAAAAAAAAAAAAGGAAATTGTATATAATTTTCCTGGTTGCAAAACCTTAGCGATTAGAAAAAAGAACATTTATTTCTTGGGGCGGGGGTCTCAGGTGGATCTTCATAAGGCAGTGCCTGGAACCCAAATGCTTAAGATGAACTTCTCCGACACAGACAAGAAGATCGGTCACCATCTAACGTCAGGACACGGTTGACATCCATTTTCTCGGACACACCTGCGTGCAGGTGAGGGGTGCCTTTTCTCAAGGTTCCCTGGGTCCCACAGCCACCTTTGGGTCTGGGCCAGAGCTATGCATACGTGACCCAAATTGCCCGTAGCCGGGGAGGGGGAGGGTCCCGCCCAGGGCCGGTTCTGAGGCGCGGTCTGTGTCTCCTGCACAATCCAGGTGACGCCCGGCGGCCCGGGACACTCTTTTAAGTCTCCC